ATTTGACCTGCTATCTTGGGTTTCTCAGCCCTGCAGCTACGTGAAGTCAGGAGAAACCTTCAGCCTGACCTACGGACTTGGGACTTTACAGCCTATACAACTGTGTGAGCCTTTTCCTCTATATAAATCTCTCTATATATGTATAGTTATGTGTGTGTGTGTGTGTGTGTGTCTGTGGTGTGTGTTACAGGTTTTGCTTCTGTAGAGAACCCAGCCTAAGGCACCATGGAATATTATACAGCAGTAAAAAAGAATGAACTATTGATACATGACACAACCTGAATAAATCTCCAGAGAATTATGTAGAATGAAATAAGCTAATCCCAAAATGTTGTATGCGTTATTGTATTTATATAAAACATTCATGAAATGACAAAATTTTTGAAATGCACAACAGATTAGTAGTTGCTAAGGGCTAAGAAAAGTGTGGGGGCTGGAAGAAAGTGAATGTGGCTATAATATGGCAAACTGAGTGAGATATATATATATATATATATACACACATATATATACACATATACACACACACACACACACACACACACACATATATATATATATATATACAGTGTGTGTGTGGTGATGGTGATGGAAATTTTGTTCTTGACTGTATCAATGTCATTATTATGGTTGTTATATTGTAGTATAGTTTTGGAAGATGTTATCACTGGAGGAAATTGGGTAAATGTTATATGGGATCTCTCAGTATTATTTCTGCTGCATGTGAATCTATAATTATCTCAGAATTAAGCTTAATTACAGAAAGATTATTATCTTCAGAGTCTGGTAGTAAGGGAACACAGAAATGTAAGATAGTAGTTTTGTTATAAAGGGTGAGAAAAGAATATCTCCAATAGGGTGAAGAAAGGTGGTACATGCAGCTGAGAAGTCAAAATTGATGAAAAAACCTAATCCCAAAATGTTATATACCGAGAAGGTGGGGTAGATTGGCAAATTGGTCAAAAATTATTAGAGTTTTCAGAGAGAGATGAAAGATTCCCCAGAATAGTAAATTATAAAAAAATGATCTTTGGGTTAATAAAAGCAATAGTTATAAGGGGGTTGAATGTAACTATGAGAAATTACATTTAAGAACATTAGAGTTATAATTAACAGTGTAAAGAAATAAGGGAGATAGAAGAGTCAGCGTTTTCCTCTTTCTGTACATTCCAAACCTATTTTTTATTTCTGTTTTTATAAGAGTTTTATTGAAATATAATTAATGTACCCTTTAAAGTGTACATTTCAGTAGTTTTTTAAAGTATTTTCAGAGCTGTGCAACTATTACTATTATCTAATTTTAGAACATTTTGACCACCCCAAAAAGTAACTATAGTACTTATAGCAGTCACTTGCCATCTCTCTCATGAACTTCACATGACCACTAGACTACTTTCTGTATATATTTCCCTATTTCTGACATTTAATAGAAATGCAGTTTTATAATATGTGGTCCTTTGTAAATGACTTCTTTCATTTAGCATAGTGTTTTAAATGTTCATCCATGTTGTAGCATGTATCAGTACTTCAATATTTTTTATTGCCAAATAATATTCTATTGTATAGATATACCACATTTTATCTACCCACACATCAGTCGATGGAGATTTGGGTTGTTTCCACTTTTTGGTTATTAAGAATCATGCTGCTTTGTAGAGTCACATACAAGTATTTGTGTGGACATATGTTTTTATTTCTCTTGAGTACATACTTAAGGGTAGAATTGCTGGGTCATATGATGATTATATGTTTAACCTTCTGAAGAACTGCCAGACTGTTTTCCAAAGTGCTACAGCATTTTACATTCCCATGAGCAGTGTATAAGAATTCCAATCTTTCCACACCCTCAACAACAATTGTTAGTATCTGTCTTTTTTTGTTACAGCAATTCTAGTCAGTGTAAAGGAGTATCATGGTTTTGATTTGCATTTTTCTCATACTAATTATATTGAGTATCTTTTCATGTGCTTATTGGCCATTTGTATATCTTCTTGGAGAAATGTCTATTCAGAATCTTTGACCAATTTTTATTTTTCAATTGTGTTACTTTTTTTTGTTATTGAGTTCAAGAGTTATTTATATATTGCAGACCAAATGTACTTTCTAATGACCATTTACCATCAACTTTGCTGTAAATCTTAATGTTATTTATTGTTTTAGTGTTTTAAACCTTTGTTTCATCAACCACTTTGCCTTTTCTCAAGAATTTACTAATAGCAGTGCCATATTTCTTTATTTCCACTCATGTTTCTGCCATTTGCCTCCTTGCAAGAAAAAAAAAGTGAGATTTTTATTGTTCCCTCAAATTTTCCACCCCACTCATATCCAGTATTTTCCTATACTTCCTGTCTTGGGTCAAGGAATTGAGAAGATTAAATTTTATCTTGATGAGGAAACTTCTCTTATATTTTCAGAGAACTGCCTTCGTGACATTCTACACAGTAGGAAAAATACAGGCAAAACCAGTCATGTTGTTGCTTTGTACAAAAGCACTGGCGTTGGTGTCTTGTAAAGGATTGAGTAAACCCTTAACAGATGACCTGGGATAATAACAGCTGTCATCTCATTGACTGTCAGGAAAATTTAGAAGTTAAAAGTCAAAATCATCTGCTAAAAAAGTGGCAAATATTCAGCTAAAACTGTAATGTTTGATCCCAAATGAAGAAACTGTAATCTCGTCCCTGCTTTTCCCTATACTGTTTTCCCTCTATGCCATGCTTCCAAGTGTCATCGCTGACATATACCTCAAATTCCCATACACAGAATTGACCAGGTCACCCAAGATACTCATTATGAATGTGTAAACAGATAAGATGAGTAAATAGCTATGAGAATACCAAGGAAAGAACAACTTCCTCCTCTTTCCATACTGGAATTTCCCCCATAATTTCATACACTCAGTAAAAACCAGAAGTCAATATCAGTGCTTCAACACAAAAATAAAAATATTCAAGAGAAAGCAATTGTGAGGGAAATCGTACTTCCAAAAGTCAGTTACTCTAGTTGCACCATCAGCACATACTAGATGAATTGAAAGATGTCAATTCATGATGAGAGAAACTTCCTTCCCTCTTACCACTTTGCTGTCTACGCATAAACAAGAACTTCTGATTTGTGGAAAGTACTGAGTAGAAAAACAGTTTCCAAATCTTCACCTTGAACTGGCTCATTCCAGGAGCCAAGAGGAGGGGGACATTATTTGGTGGATAGTAAGAGTCTTACATCCATTGGTCCACGATTCACTGTCAGTAAGGCAAATATATGAATAAGCATGATACCCCTTTCTCTCTTGGACTCTGCATTGGGGAGATATAAGGCAAGTGAAGAGCCTCTATACATCAGCTGTTTAAGTGTCTCTTATGTGGACCAACTTTGTGTTTAGGTTCTAAAGTTAAGTCCAGGAGAAAATATTAGAAAAGTCTTTTGGCCAAAGGTTTCAGCCATATTTTCCAAATCAGCTTTATCAGCAGTAAAGCTGATCTTTGGATATGGATCTGACTTCTTGGTTTGTTTCTAAATTGGTTTAGAACCCAAAGGGGAGAGAAGTGCCATCAATTAATACCCCTAGAACCCCAACACCCATGAATACCTTTTAATGGGGGTCTGCACCTCTGAGAAACAGACGCAAAATGTTTATCACTGTCCAGGGGTGATTACTGTATTGCAAACTCCATTGGTGACCAGAAGCAGAATCCACATGCATGTGGCCAGTGCACACACCCAGGGTCCAGAACATTACATTTCCATCAGGGTATGGATGGAAATCCAGGGTATGGATCATTCAGGTAAGATGTTGAGATACACTTCTTGGCCAATATTTGTAAACAGAAGACCCCGGAAGGTAATGACCAGATGTAGAAACCCAAAACATGGATCGCAACAAATGTCTATAAGCCAAACATTTCAAACTCTTCCTTACCTTACCAAAACTACTCTAGGTTTAATTTTCAGAAGAGTTTGTAGAGAATAGCATTGTAGAGAAGGGATGGCTACTTAAATAATAGTTCTACTCTGTCCTATAGGATTCCTACAAGTCAGAATTGACTTGACGGCAATGGGTATTGACGGACGGTATCCTGAAGTACACAGAGCTACAGAGACAGCTTTGCAAAGCCAAAGGAAACATTTACAAGCCTTATTCTAGGGGAATTTTTGTGTCTTTTTTTCTTTTTCCTCTTCTCAATTAGTCAGAATATCTACTTATGTAACATGGGGTTAGTGTTAGAGTATTCAGAAGTAGATACATGAACATTCTGCTGTGCCGTAGGGCTAGCTTTGCTCCTTTGTCCTAATGGTCCACCTACCCTGCTTTGCCAAGACCTTTCTTCAACCAGGAGAAGAAAGTAATGTACTGTCTCTGAATGAAGGGAGTCCCATATTAAACCAGACGCTTAGTGAAAGTAACCATGACCTTAGGAAACCCCAGTATTTAAAAAGAGCTGCTAATAAGCCTGCACAACTTTTCTCCATAGGAAGCCATTGTTTTTATTACTCTGAACAGCAAATAATTCTGCCCTCTCTTCTATGGGGAGACATTATTCCTATCTGTTTCCTATCCACCAAAAAAAAAAAACCATTGCTGTCAAGTTGATTCTGACTCACAGCAACCCTACAGGACAAAGTAGAACTGTCCATAGGGTTTCCAAGGCTGTAAATCTTTACAGAAGCAGACTACCACATCTTTCTTCCATGGAGCAGCTGGTGGGTTTGAACTGCTGACTTTTTGGTTAGCAGCCAAGTACTTAACCACTGTGCAACCAGGGCTCCTTTGCTATACAAACATCCTTGGAAAGATACCCAGTGTGCTGATACAAAATGTGCTGATACAAGATGTACAAAAATACAAGAGACCCACAGAGAACTGTTAGTTCCAAGAGGAATGTGATGTGTAAATGGAGCAATTTATGCAGGCCCCCATTGAGTTTTTAATCTGAGAAAAATGATGTCACTTTATTTTCCTGATTTTTAATTCTTTTTTTTTTCTGTAAGTTACCGCTCAAATGGATAAAACAATGGAAAAAAATGATGAGGTCGCGATTGTGGGAATAGGATGCAACTTTCCCGGAGGTAAGAATGATAATAATAACACTAAGGATGACCAATTAAATCTTAAATTATTAAAACCTTAACCTATATAATGCCTAAACAACTAAAGTAACCCTTGTTATAGGTAAGTTATACCACTTATCATAAAAGGAGGAGGAATTCACATTTGCGGGCCTACTCTATGCTAAGGCCATGCTTTGAACTGAACCGTTGCAGTGAACCCCTAGAGTGACAACCATCATGTCTCCATTTTAAAGGGAAGGCATTAAAATGCAGAGGATGAGTAAGTTGCTCAACGTCATATTGTTGTTTGATTCCAATGGGTCAATTCTGACTCATAGCAACCCTGTGTGAAAGAGTAGAACCACCACCATAAGATTTTCTAGGCTGTAATGTTTATGGAAGCAGATCACCAGGTCTTTCTCCCACAGAGCTGCTAAGTAGCTTTGAACCACAACCTTTCAGTTAGCAAGCTAGGGCTTAATCATTCGTGCCACTAGGATTTCTTGCTGTGGTGCGATGGCTCACTTTTGTATGGTCTTTCTCACCATGGTCTTGAAACTCCTACCCAAGTGATTGAGTGGGACTATACAAATAAGGTAATTGTGATGCACCAAGGGGATTGGATAGCTTGCTAATAATGCAAATAAAGTTCATGGCACCTCTGTGGGGGTGACACCATGCAAATAAGGTCTATGGAACCCTACTGAAGGAATTGGTCAGTTTTGCCATCCTGCTAGGTTTAAAATGAGACATCCTAGAGGTGGCAGGAGAGATCGCACCACCACCAAAGAAGAAGAGCCAGGAGCAGAGTGTGTCCTTTGGATCTGGGATCCCTGTACGGAAGAGCTCCTGGAAACAAGAGAAAGAGAGAGAGAGCTGTAACACAGAAGACTGCGAGAAGCCGTGTTAGAGAAATGGCGGCAGCAGAACGAGGAGACCAACAGGAGACAGCCTAGCCCACAGAATAAGCTGAGTGTTTTTGGGCAAGAGGCTTGCTAGAGGAGTACGGTGCCTCCAGGCACTTGGTGGAGCTGGATTTTCTGACCCACGGAGCTCGAGCTGAGGGCCTTTGGCCCAACGCCTACTGGCCCAGTGGGGTGCCTTGGGTTACTCATCGGCAGAGCTAAACAAGCTGTGTAACACTTGCCCAGGCAGGACAGAGGCCAAGGGGCCAGAGACAGGCATGCGTGTGGGCATGGCTGAGAAGAAGCTGTCCTGATTGAAGAACTGTATCCTAAGCGTTCCTGAACCTAAATTGTAACCTGTTACTTCCTTAATAAACCCCATAATCATGATTATTGTCTGTAAGTTCCATGTGGCCATTGCAATGAATTACTGAACTCAGCAGAGAAGTAGAGAGTGCCATGGGAGGGATGGTTGGTGTCAGAATAGGTAAAGATGGTGGAGACAGGAAGCATGTCTGACCTTCATCTCATAGCAAGCAGTCTTGGGCTGTTGATCTTGAGTCTCCCTCCACCTTCTGAAGTTAGAGGAGGTCAGATGCTTCTGCCATGCCATTTTGACACTTGTCCAACATCCTAAGAGCCAGTAACCAGAAACAAGCAGTCTGCCAAATTATGCTCCCTGTGAAATACTGTCTTTCAGTTAAGCTATATGAGTAATTAAAAAAAAAATGTTCTGGAAAGTATCTATGCAAGAACAAGTCTTCCTTTCAAACTTCTCAATACTCAAAATACTCTGTGCAACTAACTTCTTATTCCAAAGATAATATTCAAGATATCTGTAGACGTCCTTTTTAGAAACTGTAAGCAGAAATACAATTTATCGAAAAATTTCTACATTTCTACCATCATTTGGAGAACACATTTTGGCTAAAGGGTCAAACAATTTCCCTAATCTGACTTACAATTTAAGATGAAACCATGCCCTAGCTAAGGAAACATAATTTCAAGACAAGTTTCCTGGGCCCCCTTTCGCTTCAACCAGAATTTAGTGATGCAAGAAGCACAGTGATGACCAAAAAAGGATAAATGAGAAGAAATCCAATCCAGACATATTACTATGAAACTGCAGATACCAAAGACAAAGAGTTTCCAAAGTATTCAGAGGTAAAAGATTGATTACGAACAAAGACACAATTAGCTGACAGCACTTTTCTAAATGCAACAATAGAATCCAGAAGAAAGCAGAATAATATCTTTAAAATGCTGAAAGAAAATAATTCTCAGCCTAGAAGTCTACATCATCATGTGTTCAACATCATGATAAACAGAGAAAAGATTGAAGCTGTCAAGGATTTCATTTGTACTTGGATCCACAATCAATGCCCATGGAATCAGCAGTCAAGAAATCAAATGACACATAGCATTCAGCAAATCTACCGCAAAAGACCTCTTTAAAGTGTTAAAAAGCAAACTTGTCACTTTGACGACTAAGGTATGCCTGACCCAAGAGATGGTATTTTCAATCGCTTCATATGCATGTGAAAGCTGGACAATGAATAAAGAAGATTGAAGAAGAATTGATGCCTTTGAATTATGGAGTTGGTGAAGAATATTGACTCTACCATGGACTTCCGGAAGAATAAACGAACCTGTTTTGGAAGAAGCTCAGGCAGAATATTCCTTAGAAGCAAGGATGGCAAGACTTCGTCTCACATACTTTGGACCTGTTATCAAGAGGGACTAGTCCCTGAAGCACATCAAGTTTGTAAAGTAGAAGGTCAGCGAAAAAGAAGACCCTCAATGAGATGGATTGACCCAGTGGCTACAACAATGGCCTCAAGCATAACAGTGATTGTGAGGATGGTGCAGGACCGGGCAGTGTTTCGTTCTCTTGTACATGGGGTCACTATGAATCAACTGACTCGACGGCACCTAACAACAACAGAAGTGTTCCAGAAAATCTATCTTCTCTGAATTCACGTAAACTAGAGACGTTTTCAGATAAACAAACACTAGAGTTTGCGATCAACAGACAAAAGTGATTTTTAAAAGACATACTTATGAAGTAGGAAAAAGATGCAGAAGTGACGTCTAGACTGTATGAAGAAATGGTGGTCCAAGAAGTTGGTAATTATATAGGTAAATCTAAATAAGCATTCTAGAGACACGAATAATGATGATGAAATCTAATTTGTGAGATTAACAAAGGGCCATATAAATTACTGGGCAACAATAACATGTAAGTATAGAGGGATGATGAGAGTATTTTTTGGGAAGGGGATTAAGATACTAAATTTAGACCTTGTTAAGTATTCAAGTATTCAGTGTATCATTTCAAGGGTAATCACTGAAAGAGTAGACATAGAATGCATAACATCCACATCAGTAGAAAGAAAAAAATGGATTGAGAAAATAAATTAATCATTAAAAAAAGAAAGAGAAAAATGAACAATAAATAGAAAACAAAAAAGAAAAATATTGGAAACCTCCCAGTATATCAATAACCACTGACCCGAATCCAAACTCATTGCTGTAGAGTCAATTCTGACTGACAGAGACCCTATAGGACAGAGTAGAATTGCCCCACAGGGTTTCCAAGCAGCAGTTGGTGAATTAGAACTGCTGACCTTTTGGTTAGCAGCCAAGCTCTCAACCACTGCGCCACCAGGGCTCATGTAGAACCCACTACCTAACAATTAAAGGATGCACATTCTTGACATGTGCACAGAGAACATTTTTAAAAATGCAGCAGTGAGTCTGGTTATAACTATATGGTAATTAAGAGCATAGAATCAGAAGCCAGACTTTTTGTGTCTGAATTCCAGTTCCATTACTTAACAGCATTGAGATGAGACCTCTTGCAAAACATTTCACCTCTGTAAGTTTCCGTTTCACCACCTTTAAAATAATGATAATAACACTTCATAGGAAGATGATGTGATGGGATCCATAAAAAGACTTAGCATAGTGCCAAGAATGTAGCAAGTGTTCCATAAATGTTACCTACTTAAGCAGTATTATTATTATTATTAATATGAATGAATGAATAAACAATGCCTAATTAGAGCAAGGAAATCCTGCTGAAATAGTGGTTAAGAGCTATGGCTGCTAACCAAAAGGTCAGCAGTTTGAATCCACCAGCCGCGCCTTGGAAACCCTATGCGGCAGTTCTACTCTGTCCTATAGGGTCGCTATGAGTCAGAATGGACTCCATGGCAATGGGTTTTTGGTTCTTGGAATTAGAGCAAAAGATACAAAGCAGTCTCTAAAATGAGCTTTGGCTACTGAATTCAGACATTTCTGTCCTTGTATCTTAAACAGCCTCTTTTAAATGCCTAAAGTTACAGCAATGTATCTATAGTAGTGAGAAAGAGGTAACTTAGAAGGCATCTGGAAACCCTGGTGGTGTAGTGATTAAGCGCTACAGCTGCTAATCAAAAGGCTGGCAGGCCGAATCCACCAGGTGCTCCCTGGAAACTCTATGCGGCAGTTCCACTCTGTCCTACAGGGTTGCTATGAGTCCAGATCAATTTGACAGCAATGGTGAAAGTCAAGATTTAGGAAAATTCTTCTTAGAGAAGAGATAACTGGTTGGGTAATCATTTGCTGTAACCCTAGCTTTCCAATGGTTCCCGGGCCCAGAAATCTATTCACAAAATGAGTTTATGTAGTATAATTAGAAACTACAGATGAGCAAAAAGAAACAAAATCCACCACAATCCATACAGGGATACTATTTTCAGCATTCAGTCTTATACTTTTCTAGATTTTAAAACTCTGTTTTATCATATATATCAATATATCTGTTATGGATTGAATTGTGTCTCCCTAAAATATGTATGGAATTCCTGGCCCTTGTACCTGTGAATGTGATCTTGTTTAGGAATAGGGTTCTTCTTTTGTTATGTTAATGAGGTCATACCCATGTAGGGTAGGTCCTAACCCTAATCACTTCTGAGTTATAAAAAGAGCACAATAGACACAAAAACAAATACACAGTGGGAGAAGACAGATGCTGTGTGAGAATCTTCCAAAAGCCAAGGAACTCCAAGGAACCAAGGAATGTCTGGGGCTACCAACCAGAGAGAAATCAACACAGCTGGTACTCTGATTTGGACTTTTAGCCCCCAGAACTGTGAGAAAATAAAATTCTATTCTTTGAAGCCACTCACTTGTAGTATTTGTGTAATTGCAGCACTAGGGAACTAAGGTAGTCCCAAAACTGTTCTACATAATATGTACTCTTTGATTCTTTGCTTATCTTTACGTAACCCACAATGAACATTTTTGTACTTCAGAATAATTCACCTTTAGATCATTTTTGTTGTTGCATAAATTTGATTATATCAATGCAGCAAACCCTATGGTGATGATTTTTCAGCATTACAAATAATTCTGCAAGGACTAGTCACACAAATTTATCTTTTTACACATCCACCAAATTTTCAGGAAAGTTGCTTTTTGTCCCCACTCTTCAAAAACACTTGTAACTCTAATATTTTTTCAAAAAGACACGCCATCATTGTTTCTGTTTTCATCTCAATTTTCACTTTATTATAGATGAGATTATTTGTATTTGAATTTCTTGTTATTTTGTGTGTTGAATTACTTATTTGTGTTATATGTTATTTTCCCAGTAGGGTGTTTTCACTTCGTGATTTTAAAGAGCTCTTTCATATAGAGGACATTTGTCGGTTACATGTTTTCCAGCAATTTTGTCATTTATCTTTTACTTATGGCCTTTTACATGCATCAAACGTTTATGTAACTCTATGGAAAAATAATTGGGTTTTTGTTCCTTTTTCCTGCTTATAAAGGCCTGTCCTATCCCAAAATTGTAAAAATAACCATTTATATTCTACATTTTAATGTTTTTTATTTTCTAATTTAAATTGTAATAAATCTGGGATTTCTTTTGGTGCATGGTCTAACATTTAGGAACTTTATTTTCAAATGTTCATCCACTAGTCTCAAACAAATCATCTTTCTCCATGTAGTCATATATTAAATATGTTTTTTTCCTCCCTATTTCTGGGTTTTCTATTCTGTTCCATTGAATTGTCTGCTTTTGAGTCTACCCAGAGGCACCTCAGAAGAAAGATCTGGCAATCTACTTTTGAAAGTTCAGTCACTGAAAACCCTATGAAGCATAGTTGTACTCTGCCACATATAGGTTCACACCAGTAAAAGCCACTGTTTTAACTATTTTACCTGTAGTATATGTTTTAATATCTGTGACAAGTCCCCCTCTTATTCATCTTTGTCAAATATTTTCTTGGTGATGTTCAACTGTATATTATTTCAGATGAACTTCAGAATCATTTTGTCAAGTAAAAGAGAATTCTCAGTGAGCTATTGATTATAATGGTCTTACTAAGTAAGAAGCAGTATCTTAAATGAGTCTAGCAAATAAGCAGTTATCTTGCTTGATTTCTTCCAGGCTTTTTTTTAATGTCCCTTTAGCTTTGGTATTTTTTTATTTTCATATAAATCCTGCACATTTCTTGAACTGTTTATTTCTGGGTTGTCATTTTTTAATGCCAACAGTATACTTCTCAATTATAATTTCTAACTTATAATTGATAGTATATAAGAAAAGTTTTTATTTCTGTGTATTAATTTTACTACAAGAGTGAAAATTTTTTTTAACTAAAATTTTTTAATAGGAGAAGGAGTTGAGAATTTTTGGCAAGTGCTTATGGAAGGCAGAAACTGCGCAGTAGAGATTTCACCAGAAAGGTTTGATATTAAAGAGTGGTATGCTGCAGATGAAAACACACCAGGTAAAAGTCAGACAAGAAGAGCTGCTTTTATTGACGGGTAAGATCATTGTTGGAATTTCCAAAACTATATAATCTAGGTATTTTCTCTTCAAATCATATTAGCCAAATTCTTCACGGATCAATTAGCAGGACACTCTTTTTGTTTCCGCTTAACATTCTCTCTGCTTCTTTACTTTATACACCTTCATCTATTCTCCTCTCTTATATCTAATCAGCATGCTGACCTTGTGCTATCTTATAATCTCCATTTTTAAGATGTATCTCTTGTGTCTCTCTTGTCCCAGATTTTCATGGTCATCCAGACTTAAAATCTGAATCATTGCTTCCCACTTTTTAAATCTGCATCTCCTGTGCTTCAGTCTTTGTTCTCCTTCTCAGAAAGCAAATTCAGTCAGCTCCATATGTCACAGAAATGGGTCTAACAGGTCAGTGTGTACATCAATTCCTTTTAATATAATACTTCATCCAGTAATTCCAGTTAGACCATTCCTGGTATTGTTGCTGAGGCAGACAGGAAGAGGAGTAGGCCCACAACAACAGCTAACACCAAACCTGCAGATTCCAAAATCACAGGTTTCTATTCTACATTAACAACTTCAAGGGTTAACCAAAACAAAAAGGAACAGAAACCACCGTTGCACAAGATGTACCAGCAACATCTGAAAGCTCGGCAGCCATATCTTACAGCAAGGTGAATGCGTAGATATTAATCTGAGTACTCGTCCGTCAGAGGCCATTGAATGCCATTTGTTCTTTGTAGATTGAACGAATTTGACAACAAACTGTTTGGAATCAGCGACTCAGAAGCCGAGCACATGGACCCTCAGCAGAAGTTGTTGTTGGAATGCACCTACAGGGCCCTGGAGAGTGCTGGGATCCCTGCTGAGGAGGTGGCTGGTTCCAGGATGGGTGTCTTTATCGGTGAGAGAGCAATGCAACTTTGCAGGCCTGTCCCACTAGATCAAAGCAGAAGTGTGAGTGATTTCAACTATGACCACTGAGAATTCACTTGTTCCAGTCTTGCCACAAAAAGTGTTCTCTTTCTAAAAGGGTGTGGTTGTCACCCCTGTTTCTCCTCTCAGTGTTCCCAGTGTTTACAGTTAGGCTAGTAAAGCCTCTGTATGGTGGCAGGTGGCAGGAAGACAGAGACATTTCCTGATGCAGCCTGGAATGAGGATCACAGACATGACCAGGCTGAAGGGACGCAAGAGTCACACACCAGACATCCCTGTAGTTGTCAGAGACTCAGAAGCTTGATTGACTCTAGTGGAATGGAATGGACCAGAAAGACTCAAGGAGCATAGGTTAGGGTACCTTTGAGCTTCTGAGTTCCAGGATCAAAGAGTTTCTTGGAGTCAGATGAAATCTGAGATTTCCCACTTGAGACTTCTCTTGAGATTAATTTCAGATCCAGAGCAGGTACCTTCTAGGTAGCTGTCACTTATAATTCCCAGATACATCTTGTTCTCAGCCTGTTTTTCTAAGGCTCAAGTAATGCCCTGGTTCAGTATTAGGTTTTGTTGATTAATAATGTAGTATGGTAATATTTGTTTTATAATAAAAATCATAACATATTATCTATAGTCTTTATTTATTTACTTGTTTATTGTATTTATTAATATTATATGTTGAGTTGTTTGTCTTTTTGTTGTTGAGTATGCCATTAAGTTTTACATTCTCTGTCATGGTGAATGTAAATAAAAGATGTAGATATCTTGACATGTTTTAAAATCTACATAGTAAGTAAAAGAGTAAGCTTCATATTTATTACGCTGTTTTTTTTTCCTTTTGATCCTTATAGGAGTTATGAATCGAGACTACGAACTTATGTCCTTGAGAAATCCAAGAACTGCAAACCATTATGATGCCACTGGATCTGCAGTGAGCATAGCTGCTAACAGGATTTCTTATGTTTTTAACTTAACGGGACCATCTCTGGCTATAGATACTGCATGTTCATCATCTCTTGTTGCACTATACTATGCTTTCCTTGCAGTTAAACAAGGTATTCTAAAATCAAGTAACCAAGAAATAAGGCAAAAAAGTAAAAACAAAGTGAATATTTTTCATGGTGAACATAGTGAACACTCCCTGTCAGGACGTATACAGTTGACTCGTCTGGTGTCAATCCAATAAATTCTTGGGGATTCAAAATAAAACCATGGGAGAATGGAAGCTGAAATTAGGTCTCACAATGTCTCTTGCAGGCTCCTTTAGATTCAATGAGAAAAGCCAACAGTAAAAGTTTAGCTATTTTAGTATATTAGAGGTAGTAATAACATTAGAGGTCTCTGGTTTAACTCATTCGTGCTATAGTCTCTCTAAATGAGGAACAGTGAAATTAAAGGTCTTGATTAATAGCCACCCTAGATGGTGACAGACCTAGGACGGGAACCCAAAGCTTTTAATTCCCAGTCTAGTCCTTTTTTTGATCCTATATTGTGTTAAACAACTCCAGGGGCATTCACTTTGTTGTCCATGAGAAGGTCTTCCTTAGTGCTTACTTCCCTACAGGTATGTGAACTGTACCTTTCATATCTCCCTCACGACAAGTGTTCACTAGCAGTGTGGAAGGCAGCAGGCCTGCCAGTGTCCTATAGTAGTCTCTGTGATTTTCCCTCAAAATAATGCCTGCAAAACATCTTATTCTGGATTAGGACTGGGTAGTGATTCAAGCACCATTGAACCATCGTACTTTAGTACCATTTACTGATAGAGAAGAATTATTTGATCCATAAGTAGAGATTTATACTGGATATTAATCAGAATAGATCAGTTTTTAGAATCAGATAGATGCATTGCATAAAACGTTTTAGAAATAGAGGCTTAAATATGTTATATACAATTGCAAAGCTATCCCAAAAAGAACTAAAAAAAGTCTACAGTCCTTGCAAAATTACAGCAGGAAAATACATACACAAAGAAAATAAAGAATTAAAACATAGATCATTCAAAGGGAAAATATTTTTGGGAAAGAAGCTTTATATATTATATAACTAAGGCCTCAAATCATTTTCATTTCAACCAAAATTATGAGTTAAACTTACCTATTTTCTTAAGGATTCAGGTTGATTGGACCAATTTAAAAATGAAAACAAAAAAAAAAAGACAAATTGGAAACAAAATGATCCTGAAAGGTTGAAAGTAAAAGAGTGAGCAAAGACATACCCAGTCAAATGTAAACTGACAACAGCCAATAGAGTGGGTACTGGGTTAATGCTGTGATATAAAGTTATATTCAAGACAAAGGAGGGGAACATTTTATAATGATAGAGAATACAATTCCCGTGAATATGTAACTGCCTTAAATTATTGCGAATCAGATAAAATACGATCAAATTTTATAAAGCAAAACCTACAAGAAATAAAAGGAAATTAGAAAACTGTAATAATAGGGGATTTTAAATACATCTTCTTTGCCTACCCATGTCATATCAGAGACCAAAAAATATGTTGGTACAAAGATAAATATAATATAACTAATAAGGCAAGTAAAATAGTTTATTATATTCTATAGCATTAGCTGACAATATACCTTCTTTTCAAGTACCTGCTGAACATTTAACAAATTAAACACATATATTAAGTCACAGCCTTAATCAGTGAAATAGAACTAATACAGCCCACATTCTCTAGTTACAATTACAAATTTATAAATGCTAACAAATGAAAAAACAAGCCAATTAAAAGTAGAAATGTTAGAAACTTTCTTATTTTCTAACAACTCTTAGGTCAAACTGGGAAATCAAAACTAAAGTTACACAATATCTTGAAAGTTATGATAATTTAAAAAAACAATTTACAACCTTAAACCTTTAGTGAAATAAGAAGAAATCAAAGAATTAAGCATTCAATACAAAAAAATTAGGAAAGTAACAACCACAGATGAAGATCAAAATAACATATTAGAACAAAATCAAGCAAGGATGCCTAAGTAAGAGTTCCTCTTTTTAAAACTAATAAAAAGATAAATTCCTAGGTAGGCTGCTAATAGAGGAAAAGGGGGAGAAAGCCAAAATCAATTAGAAAGGAAAACAGGAGAAAAATAGTAAATACAAAAGGACATTTGAAAACTGAGTGAAATAGACGATTTTCCAGAAACATTTGAAAACTGAGTGAAATAGACGATTTTCCAGAAACATGTAAATAACTCAAGCTGATGCTAGAAAAGACAGAAAATGTAAAGAGAGGGATTGACACAGAAGAAATTAAGAAAGTTCTTTTGGCACCAGATGTAGATAATTTCACAGTGATTCCATCAAAAATTCAAGGACGCAATAACCTATAGGAGAGAAACTGATTTCCTCCATGTGGAGAAAGCTTCCAAACGTATCTTTTAAGAAAGCATCATAACATTGACAAAGGAAGGACACAAAAGAGAAAACTGTCTCCTATTCTTCAGTTGTGAGGCAGTAGGCTTAAATACAATATTACTCACAGCGACCCCATAGGACAGAGTAGAACTGCCCCATAGGGTTTCCAGGGAGTGGCTGGTGGATTTGAACTGCCAACCTTTTGCTTAACAGCGGTTGCTCTTAACCACTGTGCCGCCTGGGCTCCCAATAAAGTATTAGCAAGTAAAAATAGAGATCCGCAATGCCTGGGGTCAGATTCACAAGGCCACTGACTGTCCCGACAGGAATGGGAAGAGACCCAAATGCACAGTGCACACCACAGTGCAGAGGCTCCAAAACTAGAGTTACTCCATGGCCAGTCTTATAAGGCGAGAAAACTCAAAGTAAAGCTACTCAGAAGAGTAAAAAGACCTTCCAAGGGAATTCAGGAATCAACTCATTGGAAACCCTGGTGATGTAGTGGTTAAGAGCTACGGCTGCTAACCAAAAGGTTGGCAGTATGAATCCACCAGATGCTCATTGGAAACTCCGTGGGGCAGTTCTACTCTGTCCTACGGGGTCACTATGAGTTGGAATCGACTCGATGGCAACTGGTTTGGTTGTCTTTTTGGTTTACTCTCTTTAGTTTTCTGCTCACCATGATAAGGCAGGTAGTCTTGGGTGGCACAAACGGTTAATGCTCTTGGCTGCTAAATGAAAGGTTGGAGGTTTGAGTCCACCCAGAGATGCCCTGGAAGAAAGGCCTGGTGATCTACTTCTGAAAAATCAGCCATTGAAAACCCTATGGAGCACAGTTCTATTCTGACACACATGGGGTCACTATGAGTCAGAGTCAACTAGAAGGCAACTTGTTGGTTGCTTGACCAATAAGGTGGGAAGGCACTGTGCATGTAAGTCAAATGTTGTTTCTTCTAACTGGCTTGCTTACTTGTTGCTTGGTTTCAGGAGATTGTGAAACAGCTCTCTGTGGTGGAGTGAGCTGCATGTTAGACCCTGCAGTTAACGTCGTGTTGAGTAAAGCCAAACTGATATCTCCAGAGGGTGTGAGTAAACCCTTTTCCAAAAAGGCAGATGGATATGGACGAGCAGAAGGTTGTGGTGTTGTCCTGCTGAAACCTCTAAGGAAGGTCAGTCAATTTAAAGATCATTCACAGAGTGGTTCATTGAGCAACAGCTGAGTGCAGGGCAGTATACTAACTTGAGCAAGAGCCTGTCACTGCCGTCTAGACCCTGCTCCTCAAAGTGCTGTCCAGGGACCAGCAACATGGCAGCATCGTCAGCATCACCTGGTGCAACATCTCAGCCATACTGAGTCGGAAGTCTCATCGTAACACCACAATTCCTATGCATATGGAAGGTCACAAATCTGGTGGGAAGGACAGTCAAGGAAATAAGTGCTTACAGTATAGTGTGGCAAGTTCAGTGTTAGACATGGAGCGTTGCCTAAATTCATGTGGGAGAAATTGAGTTTTTAACAGTTAAGTAAACTTTGGAGAAGCAATTTGTGGGTGACTGCTGCGGAGAAATAAGGGCTTATCAGGCAAATGGAACAGCTGTCCAAAGTCAGGCAAGCCTGTTGAGGGAATGACTCCAGGCATGGAGGGGGGATGACTGTTGTCTTAACGAAGAAGTTTCTGGAAATGAGAAGTTGATTACCCTACTTATTCTAGGCTCTGTCACTTTCTGGCTGTGTGGCCTTAGGCAAATCACTTAACTTTTCTATGCCTCAGTTTTGTGTACAATAAAATGAGAATGAAAGTAACCCAAACCCAGAAAACCAAACTCGTGGTCATCAAGTTGATTCCAAGTTACAAAGACCCTATAGCACAGAGTAGAACTGCCCCATAGGGTACCCAAGGCTGTTCATCTTTTATGGAAGCAGACTGGCACATCTGTCTCTCATGGAGCAGCTGGTGGGCTCAAACTGCTGACCTTTCAGTTAGCAGACAATGAGAATTAAATAAGTTAATACTGAAAAGTGGTTAGAGAAGTGTCCAGGGTGTAGAAAGCATGATATGAACGTTAGCTGCTGCTGTTGTTATTATTATTGTTATTATTCAAGACTAGGTGCGTGGAACATACACTCTAACCTCGTTCTTAGCTTCTTCTCGCGTGTCTTCTTTATGTAAACTCTGCTCCAGCCAAACTCATTTATGTGTTACTGCCCCAAACACGCCCCTGAATTCCAACATCTGAGCATCTGATCAAGCCATTGCCTCTGCCTGGAGTACCCTTGTCTAGTCTCCATCATACCTGCCCTAACCTTCTGTTGGGATCCAAGCTAGTTCTCATTTCTTTAATGAAGCCCTCCCAACTCCTCCCCTCCCCAAAATGGGTTTTCCTTCCTCTAAATTCCTATGGCACCTGTTAAAGTCTTTCTTTACTGTTACTGTGATACATACAAGCAGTTCTTTCCCCGCCTGTATCTGAGCACAGCTGTCGAGCTCTAGAGACTGCACTTAAGTGTTATGTTCTTATCTTGTGATAACAACGTTTATTGTGTTCTCATTGTATGTCAGGTGTTGTTTGGAGCATTTTGCATAGAACAACTAATTTAATCCCCATACCTTCTAAGATAGGCACTTTAGTTTTATAGGTACAGAAAGAGAGACCCAGAGCAATTAAATAACTTGCCCAGGATTGCCACATCCAGCAAGTGGCTGAAAAAGAAACAAAAAGACGAAAACAACCCACACCCCTTGCCATCGAGTCAATTCTAACTCATGGTGACCCCATGTATTACAGAGTAGAACTGAGCTGTATAGGGTTTTCTTGGCTGTAATCTTTACGGAAGCAGATTGCCAGGCCTCTTTTCCATGACATATACCACCAACCTTTAGGTTGGTAGACAAAAGCAAACCGTTTGTGCCACCCAGAACCCTTTCAGGAAGTGGGTAAACTGGGATTCAAACCCAGGGAGTCCAGCTCCATAGTCTACACGCATATTTCACTTTGCTCTGTTAAAGCCATGCTGATTTTTTTTTTTTTTTTTGAAAAGTTACCGTTGATTCAAAGTTCAGGAATGAGATTTTTAATTACATATTTCTTTTTCATTGAAAATCCTGCATGTCAAAATTTTTCTTAGGAATGTTACACTTAAATTTAAGCCATGAGCATAGACTATGAAAGTCCTCAAATTCTCCAAGTATTATTCAAGTGACTGTTATCTCTGGATATTTGAGATTTCAAGGAAAATATGATATTTTATCTTTGTTAATTGCCTGATGAAGAGAATTACAGTGTTCTTCAATTTCCAGAAAGTTGTGAATAGTATTTATATTATGGAAACAGGAAAAGGAACCACATACCACTTTTTCCAAGCAGATTATCAAAAGAGTCATAAGGCATGTTCTAGTTATTGATACTTTGTAACAAACTACTCCAAACTTAGTAGGTTCAAACAAGGTACCATTTTGTTATATGTCAGGATAAGTGAATCAAATCTGGCAGTATCTGGCTGGGCAATTCTTCTGCTCCATAGTAATATTGACTGAATCTCTGGGTGATATTCATCTGGCAGCTATGCTGGTCTGGAGGGGCCAAGATGCTTCCCCTATGTGCCTGGTGTCTTGGCAGAATAGCAGGGAAGTTGAGCCCAGCTGAGACCCTTCTCTTTCTCCATGGGATCTCAGGGCCTCTCCGTGTGGTCTCTACAGCATGGTAGACTGACTTCTTCCATGGTGGCAAAAGCTGCCATTTATTTTAAGAGTTAGGCTCCAGAACTGGCTTTGTGTCACTTTTGCCAAGCTCTGTTGGTTAAAGCAGATAGCAGGTAGCCCAGATTCAACAGAAGGGGACACAGCTACCACATCTTGATGACAGACATGTCAGAGCATTTCTGGACATCTTTAATTCACCACACACCGTAAATACATAAAATAAATCTTTCCTAAATTATAAATTGCTATTACGTTGGAAGGCTAGGAACGCAAATTCCTTGAGTTCCACAAATATTTATCTGGAGGATTACAAATAGCATTCAAGCGATACAGTTGCCAACAGTCTCTAAGATGGAAGTGTTCCTAAACAAATAATTGCCATGGCTTTCTCTCTTCAATGTTATAACCCAATTAGCCTACTCTCTTGGCCTACAATGCCAATGCCCTGTCTCCCGAGTTGATATTTGATTTGTGCTGTATGGAAAAATTCATAAAACCTTCCTCTAAGTCAAGCACTTCTCCTCTGCTGTCTTCTCAGCCAGATGAGCTCTCCTGTGCCTGGGTACATAAATACTTTTTATACGGCCTTTTTTGGTATAGAAATAGTTCTTTTGGATATTGTAATTTTTTGTGTATATAGTGTCTGTTTTCACTACATCCATGCCTCTCAAAGTAGTGTCTGAGGAACACTTCCATCAGAATTATTGCATATTTGTGTTTCTACCCAGCCCCTACCCTTGAAGATGTACTGAATCAGGATTTCTCTAAGTGGGGTCAAGAATACCCCATTCTTGAACGATTTAGCAAATTCCTCACTTGATTTTTTCCTACAATCCAGACTTTGTGAATCATTATGCTAGAGTAAGGAGGAAGACCACCATCCGTCAGTACTGTGATGGCTTGCGTGTTGCTGTGATGCTGGAAGTTATGCCACTGGTATTTCAAATACTAGCAGAGTCACCCATGGTGGACAGGTTTCAGTGCAACTTCTAGACTAAGACCAGGAAGAGAGGCCTGGCAATCTATGCCTTAAGATTAGCCAGTGAAAACAGAACATTGTCCAACTCACTTACTTTGGACACATCATCAGGAGGGATCAATGGCTGTATGAGGACATCATGTCTGGTGAAGTAGAGGGCCAGCGAGGGTGAAAGAGACACACAGTGACAAGGATTGGCATAATAGCTGCAACAATGGACTCGAATATGCTGGCGATCGTGAGAATGATGCAGGACTGGGTGATGTTTGTTCTTTTGTACATAAAGTCCCTGTGAGTCAGAGTCCACTAGACAGCTGCTATCTGTCTTTCTTCCTACCTATCAATATAAGGAAGGATAGGTCAAGACCCATATTATGTTGATCCTGAACTAGCACAATACCCTGTATTAACAGACATTAAGTAGCTTTACATGATTTACTTATTATCCTTATTATTCTTGCAAAGCATTTTTTAAAATGAAATCTTAAATGCTCTTCTTTTATCAGGCACTAGAAGACCATAACAGAATCTGGGGAGTCATTGCTGCCATTGCTGTCAATCAGGATGGACGATCGGCTACTCCCATCATCAGACCATCTCAGGAGCAGCAGGAGAGGCTCCTCCAGAGCATCTATTCAGCTCACATTGACCCACTGAGTGTGCAGTATATCGAGGCTCATGGCACAGGAACATCCGTTGGGGATGTCACTGAAGCTGAGAGCTTGGGAAATGCTGTTGGAAGGAACAGGCCAGGGGGATCCCCCGCTCTGAAGATCGGGTCAGTGAAAGGCAACATCGGCCACAGTGAATCTGCAGCGGGAACAGCTGGCCTCATTAAAGTCCTTCTGATGATGCAACATGAAAAGATTGTCCCATCTTTGCACTATTCAGAGAACATAAGCAGCATCGACACTAAGAGATTAAATCTGTCCATTCCAACAAGTCTAGACGCTTGGGAAGAGCCCCGAGAATTTGGCAGAGGAGCTGGGGTTAACAGTTTTGGATTTGGGGGAACCAACGTTCATGTTGTCATTAGACAGTTGAAGCAGCAATCCCAGAATCTCCCTTTGAGGAGGCCATGTGAAATATTTTTACTCTCTGCAGCCTCCAGGAAATCCCTCCAGCTCACCATGGAAGACACAGCTCGTCATCTGGACCAAAGTGTCCAAGTTTCGCTGCAAAATCTGGCTTACACATCAGCCTGCAGAAGGAGCCATGTGAGCTACCTGTACAGGAAAGCATTTGTAACCACTTCCATGGAGCAACTAAGGCAACAGCTGCAATTAGCTGCCAAGGAGGAAATGGCTCCAACTCAGAGATGCCCTCAGCTGGTATTCGTGTTCTGTGGAAATGGACTCCACTACCAAGGAAGGGCAAGACCCTGCTTAAGTGTGAACCAGTGTTCAGAGAAAAGTGCCACGAAATTGCCGATTTGTTTCTCCAGTATAAACCAACAAGTCTCCTGGAGTTAATAGAAAATGACTCTGCAGATTTTTCTGATCCCGAAATAGCCCAATCTCTCCTCTTCATGCTTCAGGTAGCTTTGGTGACTCTCCTGAAATTCTGGGGCATTGAGCCTAATGTCATGTTGGGTTTCTCAGTGGGAGAAGTTGCAGCTGCCCACTGTGCAGGGGTCATTTCCCTGGAAGATGCAGTGAAAGTGATCCACTTCCGGAGCAGTTTACAGGCAAAGGTGGTTGGAGGGAAAATGGTGGTGGTTGGAAACATTCCTGTGGAGGAAATCTCAGATGTTCTAGTCTCATTCTCCAGAAGGGTGTGCATTGCAGGCTTCAGCAGTCCTTGTTCCTGTATTCTGTCAGGAGACGCAGATGCTATAACCAGATGTCAAGAGGAGCTGGCTCAGCGGTTTGAGAAAAGGAATATATTTCTGTGCCCGGTATCCACTCCAGCTGCGTATCACAGTTACATGATGGATCCAATACTTGAGGACATTGAAGAGAGTATTGGGAATTTGGTGAGGAGAGAGCCGAAGGTGGAACTGATTTCAACAGTGACAGGTGAAGCAGCTTCTGAAGAAGATTTTACCACTGGCAAATACTGGTCCAGGAACGTTCGAGAGCCCACAAATTTGGCACAGGCTATCACAACTGCAGCCAAAGGAAGGGAAAATGCTATATTTGTTGAAATAACCCCGAAGAGAGCTTTTCAAAAAAACATCAGGGAAAACTTAGGTGAAGAAACCATTGCCTTTTCTTCTTTACAACCAAATAAAGAGTACGAGACTCTTTTTGATTTGGTAAAATCTCTATTTGAATTTGGACACAATCTTAATTGGCCATGCTTTTATAGAGGTTTGAAAACAACTCCCACAGATTACCCGAGATATCAGTTTGATCACAAGAATCTGAAAACTTATTTGAAGAGTCTTCAGTTACAGAACAAAATTGCTTACTCCTATCACCCTCTTATTGATAGTGCCAATGACGGTTTAAATTTCACCTGCTTCATAACTCAGGATAGAGCACCCTATGTTTTTGAGCACAAAGCCAATGCGACTCCCTTTGTTCCTGGTTCCTGTTTTGTGGAGCTTGGCTTGGCTTGTGTGATGGGCAGTTTAAGGCCCAGAGTACCTCTGAGTACATGTCAGGTAAGAGTGGAGTTCTTAGCTCCCTGTGTGATTAGCCAAAATTTCTTAAATATAAAAGTAAAGTTGGAAGCAGAAGAAACAAAAACAAAATTTGAAATAACCTCTTCCTCAAGTGGAGTTTATGCAAGAGGGGAAGTTACAAAAATCAAAAAAACTGTGAGTGAAAAACAACATATTTCTCTTGGGAGCATCTTTCAAAGGTGTAAGTTGATTCTAACCAGTGATGAAGTTTATGAAAAACTCCTCCATCATGGTTTTCAGTATGGAGCCATCTTCAAACGGTTAAACATAATTTCATTTTGTGATGAGCTGAAGGAAGGCATAACAACCATCAAAGTTACTGAAGATCTCCGAAGAGAAATGTATGAATATCATATCCATCCAGTGTTATTAGACTGTTTCTTGCAAATGGGTCTAGTCATGGCCACAAGAGACAAAAAAATTGGAGGAAAAACTGGTTTTCCGTCAAAGATAGGCAAGCTGACAGTTTTAAAAACTTTCGAAGTGGAAATGAATATATACGTAAAAGTAATTAAATATACAGAAGACTACTTTGAAGTGTGTGGGTTCTTTATAGACAAATACGGTTCCATCTTAGCAAGACTAGAAGAGATTGGATTCACGTATAGTAAACAAAGACAATCTAATGATAACTTCCTTCTAGAAAACATATGGAAGCAAATATCACTCATTCAGATGCTTGGGAACTCTGGTGAAGTACCTCCATGCCTAGTTCTAATGGACACATTTGGAATAGCTCAACAGCTTAAAAAGTATTTGCCTTGTGACTCCAAGTATATTGGGTTTCAGGAATGGGAAGCAAGTCAAGATTCAGAGATGAGAGTAGGTGATATGATGAAAACTGAAATCAAGAACTTCCATCATGTTTTATTTATGTGGAGAATTAAAAAACTAAATGAAGAGATCCCAGGAATACTTCTTCAATACCTAACAAAATGCTGTGAGGCATTTCGTCAACTTATTGTGGCCTTAAAAGACCAAAATGTTGATTGTTCTGTGACAGTAATCACTTACAGAACAACAAGAAATGTGGATCACATTAATCCAGGATTTGTTCTCTCTGGCATGACAAGAGCCTCTTTGATTGAAGTGCCAAATATTATGTTTCGAATGATAGATATTAGTGATACAAGCCCACAGAATATAGCAAGTTTAGCAGACGCTATTATTAAATGTGAAGGGAAGGACTATCCAGAACTCTGTATTGACCAGGGGAGAATATTCATTTCTGAAATCAGGCAAACTTCCTTTGAAAGGATTTATGAAAGCCAACCTCACAAGAGCCACCAGAACTCTGAGATGTTCACTCTATGTACCTCAGATCCCTACAATGTAGTAGAGGTGACAGCCATGATCGGAAGATACAAACTCACACCATTTAGTGACCAATCTGTGGAAGTTGAGATGGATAAAATCTGCATCCACTCAGAAGATTATTTTCCTGTTAGCACATCTAGCTGTAGTTTTGGTAATACATTGTATTGGGCTGGTGACACAATGGAGAAACATAAATTAGTGGCACTGGACTTCAGCGGTACTGTAACAGCCATAGGCAAGGATGTTAAAGAAGTGATGGTTGGTGATCACATTGCCACCTGTTTTCCTCTTGTGGCATCATCAAAGGTCTCACTTCCTGAGACTATATGCTTTCACAGCAAGAAGTTTCCAGTATTTAGAAATGTACCCTGTGCATCATACTTCATAATAGCTTAGAAAATTCTCACCCAGATATTACCAAATGCCAAGCATCTCTCCACACTTGCTGTCATCTCCCCACAGCCAGGATCAGCTCTAGGCGAGGTGCTAACCTTAGCTGCTAAGGAAGTGGGCTGGGGAGCCACACTTGTCTCACTCTCTGCTGGTCTGTGGCAAAAAGTGGGACAGTGCCAGGCACTCATTTTCCTGCCACCACTGGAAGAACTCTCCAAAGAAACACTCTACAACCTTCCCCACCTCCGAGATGTGGTATTCGTATGTGGCCAACACCAGCCTGAATTTGTACGGCAATTATTGTATAATGTTCACAGTCACATCCAGCTCCACATCCTAAATCTTAGCCAGGTTTTACAGAAATCCTGTCTGATAGCATCCAGTAGATCTGTCTGCCAGTGGCTAAAATCAATGAATTTGATAAATAATTTAAATTTGGCACACTCTCTTTTTCAACAAAATGCTTTGGCCAATCCTGCCTTGTCTTCGTATTTCACATGTGTGGCCATCCCTCTGGCTGTGTTGAAAGTCAGTGTTTCAGAATGTCAACTTTCACAAATACCTATGTGTGAAGAAGGGAGAAAACTCTTCAAGGCAAATGGAGTGTATGTTGTGTCAGGGGGGCTGTCTGGCCTTGGGTTTGAAACTGTGAAGTTTATCGTACAGAAAGGAGGTGGTTCTGTTGTGATTCTTTCACGGCAAAATCCAACGTCTCAACAGTTGAAAGAAATGCAATTGCTGGAAAATCAGAATGAAGGATGCAGGATTGTCAGCCTGCGGTGTAATGTTGGTTTTCATTCTGAGGTGGAAAAGGCAGTAAATTCAATAAAAAAGATCTTTCCAAAGAGTGAAATAAAAGGTGTATTTCATAGTGCTGCAGTCTTGGATGATGGGCCCCTCGAAGCTCTCAACGTCTCTCGATTTGAGAAAGTGTTAAGCCCCAAAGTAGCTGGAGCAGTAAATCTTCACCTTGTGACCAGAGGGCAGGAACTTGATTACTTTGTGTGCTACTCGTCTGTTTCTTCCTTTCTTGGGAATGCAACACAAGCCAACTATGCCGCTGCTAACTCTTTCCTGGACATCTTCTGCCACTATCAGAGGAACTGTGGTCTTGCTGGCCAGTCAATTAACTGGGGAGCCTTGAATCTTGGGTTACTGCTAAACAAACACCACCTTCACAGTGCTTTAGCCACCAAAGGAATACTTCTACTTCAAATACCTGAAATCCATGAGTACCTTGAAAAATGCTTACTTCTGAATAATTCACAACAAACTGTAGTCAAACTTGACTTCAGGAAATTACAGGAATTCTTTTCCCAAGTTCCATCTCACAGAATTCATTTCTTCAGAATTTCTGAAGAGGAATTTGATTCTCTGGAAGACTCACGCGTGGCTTTTACTCATTCTTTATCTAAGATATCAACAGATGAGTATATCACTTCTTTAGTTAGTGAATTCAAGAACACAAATGTCAAAGCCATCACAATGTCCACATCGCTAACCTCATTAGGCATCGACTCAGTATCAGCTATGACTATTCAAAGTAAACTCTTTCATGATCTAAAGGTTCAAATTCCTCTAATTAAACTACTTGATCCAGATGCAACTCTGCAAACCTTAAAATTGTTTCTGGAGGAACAAGCAAAGAAGATTTGAAATAGAAATGATCACAATCCACAAAAAATGTTTTGCTTTTTGTTTTTCATTCATGCAGCATGCTGGATTAGAGTGAAAATAGAAGTACAAAATTATGAACATGATTCAATTAAGATTGTGTTAGCTTACCTAAAATTACGTATTTTTTTCCTAAAAAATTCTGTCAACTTTGATAAATATTAAAATTGACATTCTAAACTAACTTAATTCATTTGAATTGCTATATGTTAGTAAGCATTCCTTATATTAACTCACTTTATTATACCAGGCTCAATTGGAAACCTTTAATTAAAATAAAAATTTTATGTTCACTAATCAAAGAGTAAGTTTTGTTAAATTTAGTGGATTGTTTGCTTATCTGGGGAATCTGTACAAAATTTCACTAAGAATAAATTAGTAGTAGTAGTTTGTTCTGGATTGAATTGTGTCCCCCCAAAATACGAGTTGGAATCCTAACCCCTATACCTGCGGATGTAATTCTGTTTGGGAATAGGGTTTTTTATTATGTTAATGAGGTCGTATCAGTGCTGGGTGTGTCCTAAACCTAACCACTTCTGATCTGTAAAAGAGCAGATTAAGCATGGAATCAGGCACAAATGGGGGAAGATAGATGTCACATGAAGATCGTCCAGGAACCAAGGATGCAGGGGTTACAGAAGCTGAGCCATGGAACTTCCTCCTTAGCTGACAGAGAGAGAGTCTTCCCTTGGAACTGGAGCCCTGAATCCGGACTTCTAGCCTTCTAAACTGTCAGCAAATAAATTTCAGTTCTTTCAAGTCACCCACTTGTGTTATTTATGTTACAGCAGCACTAGGAAAGTAAGACACAATTATTTCTAAATACCAAAAATTATCTAAAAATTTACTCAATTTATTTCACATAAGATAAAGATCAGTTTATAATTATTTTTCATATTAAGATTGTAATCTAGTTTTATACGTATTTTCTGCTTAGTTATAGCAAATATAAAGGAAAGCTGTTGATATTTTAAATATTTACTTTGTACCCAGTAACTTCATGGTCATGTTAACCTCCTAGTATGAGTTGTAATAGTTTCATCTTTTTCTATACTCTAAAAGAATTTAGAAAACATATGATCTCTTTCTTGAAGTCTGATAAAACTCAGCCATAAACCTGAATTAAGCCTGGCATCTTTTTAAGGATACAACTGTCATAGGAGAAGCACCAGACTTACACTCTGTTAAAATGTGAGTGAAGAGTTTTATTGAGAAATAGAGAGATTCATGAATTGGGAGCCACTATTACACTCAGGCAGAGTCCAATAATTTTCCAAAGTGCAGGAGGGGAGTGAAGGTTTTTATAGGGTGGAGTAAACAAAGGTTATGTGCTTGTAGGCACGAGGGAGGTGCAAGGCATAAAACCACAACGCGATTGTCAAACCACAATCTTTTATGAACAGTCTTTCTTCACATTAACAGTTTTATTTGTTAAACATCTTAGATCATTCTGAACAAATCATCTTTCTGAGAACATTCTGAACAAAGCGTCTCTCCACAAATATACATGTCAAACTTTTCTTAACAACCATGTATCTGGTCCCTTCTTATCTTAAAACAACAGGCTATGCTTCAACCCTAAATTAACAGATATACAGAGTCATGTGATAAACACAAGCGGAACTAAGGTCTTAGTGAGTGAATCAAAATGGAGTCTGGTCTAGGTCTGGGTTAGTCTTTTTAATTGTCCCAAGTGTCTCAGATTTGAGGGTCTGCTAACACATTTTTCCCCCTTTTGATCAAGCCACCACTAGGGGCCCAGATCACTCAGCATATCACCGCAATAGAGTTACCTAAGGACTTCTGAGGTATATACTATGCCCCAAATGCTGAAAGTGTTAGACCTTAAGGTCATTGGGCTAATTTTCTTTTTCACCTTGCCATAGCTTTTGGTCTCATTTTCAGGATGACTTGATTTTTGGTAGGAGTTAGTGTTAAAAACAAGGTCACATTAGAAGAACGAAGTGGAGTTCTTAAAAAGGTCTAATCCCAGAACTAAAATTCGTTCTCCTTGGTAAAATTAGTTTCTGCTAAATACATAACTCATTGCATGATTAAATGTTTTGAGGGTTGATGCAGCAATGGGAGATGCAGACCATAATACATTTAACAAACCCTATAATAATAACTATTATGATTAGAAGAAGAAAGCAAGCTAGTAAAAAAGAATGTAAACCAAATCCAATACTTTTGAGGGTTATGAACTAAAAATATCAAAGAAAGGTCATGGGAGGAATGACATATAACCAGCAGGCTTTTTGGTGCACTTTAGAGATTTCTTTGGTTCTACTTCTCTAGAGGTGTTTATCCATGAACAACAAGAGCTATTGGTAATAGCACAAACTCCTCCTTGTTGAGCTAGGAAAAAACTAAGAGATATTCTATAATCTAAGACAACTTTAACAAGGGATTCTAAGGATTTCTGCTGAGCTGCAGTTCTGTCAGCAACATTGTCAGCAATTTGAGTCATGGTAGCAGACAAATTGTGAATATATTCTTCTAATTGGAATATACCATAAGTGTGGACAAAGCCAGAGTAAATGATCAGCCTCATCCAGGCCTATCAGCAATGGCATTATCTGAGAGGGCAAGTTCCCTCTTCTGTATGGATATTAATTTCAAGTTACTATTCCATTGTAAACTGTCACTGTATGAATGAATACTTAAGGGAATTCCAAGGGTATCCAGGATGCATTGACCTCACAAATTCCAGCCATTTAAACAGGGTAAGGCCCAAGTATAGTGTGAGTCATCAGATATTTTCCTTGAATAGCCTGATTTTCTAAATAGAAAAACATATTCAGATTGGGCACATAGTGTACCTGTCCTGGTTTGCTTATTAGGAAATGAGATTGTCTGTTTAGCTCTTCAACCCAATCTGCAGTCAATTAATTATCACAACTGGATAATTCTCCAAATTCTATATGATTCAGAAGTCAGGCACAAACTGGGAGATTTTGATCATTTTTAAGACAGCTAGTTACTAATGAGGAATAATACGGGGAATTACCTATAAAAAGACTGCATCTTTCAGAAAAGATTTAACATTCACTGGGATCTACTCAGGCATGAGTAAGATTAAAACAAGGTGCTGATGGATAGGCAGATAATTCTGGAGGTAGCCATAATATAATGTGAATAGCCTGTTTAAATGATTTTTCAAAATCAATGGTAAAGTTAGGTATGCACTTGTAATCTAAAACAGGTACAGTGCGGGATCAGAATAGTCATACTTGGACTGAAGAGTGACATATCCAACTTTCAGTTAAATTACTGGAGCTAGCACCTCCTGAGTCCATTTGATAAAGGTGTTTTCATTCTAAGCACCAGTGATGGTTATAATAAATGAAAGAAAATACTTATTAAAAACTTCATAATGGAGAAAGGCTAATTAAAAAGTAATATAGGGAAGGCATGGCCAAGAAGGGAGAGTAGTGAGACGCTTCCAGTGGACCCTCTTATGACAAAGACCAGAAAAAAACAAGTGATTTGATTATATATGGCAATCTGGGAACCCTGAACATCAAAGGCAGAGTTGAGGAACCGGACTGAGTGGCAGGGGGAGGGAGAGATGGTTCAGAAACAGCAAGGAGTTGCCAGACCTGACCCGGTGAGAGCCTGAGCCCTTCAGGCCTGATCAGCTCAGGGGTGAGCTGTGAGACAGGCAAGCAGCCGTGTTCGGGAGGTGCATTTTCTGCACCAGGAGAGACCCAGCACCAGAGAGTCTACACGGCCACTCAGAACCAGTGAGAAGCAGCCCTCCACAAAAGATAACTACTTGCATACGGCTTACTACATGGATCAAAAACACCCCCCTTAGGGAAAAACCTCATTCCCATTTACCTCCCTGCTCTCTGCTCTGCACTGGGTCCCAGATCATCTTCAGCAATTGCCAAGTCCCCTGGGCCAGAAGTAGGATCTGTCACACACCCGGAGCCATTCTCCCTGCCTTGGAGAGTAAACAAATTGACAAACAGAGGGACCTTATACCATCAAGAAAGCAGTGCCAGGAGCAGAGCGTGTCCTTTGGACCGGGGTCCCTGCACCGAGTTCCTAGTCTGGGGGAACGCTGATGAGAAGGCCAACAGAGAGAAAAAGCCTTCCCCTGGAGCTGATGCCCTGAATTTGGACTTTTAGCCTACCTTACTGTGAAGAAATAAATTTCTCTTTGTTAAAGGCATCCACTTATGGTATTTCTGTTATAGCAGCACTAGATAACTAAGACAGAATTTGGTACCGGGAGTGGGGTGCTGCTCTAACAGATACCTAAAATGTGGAAGCAGTTTTAAAAGTGTGAATGGATAGACGTGCAGCAGTGACAGAGGACCAGCAGCAGCAGAGAACCTACAGCAGCAGAGAAGCAGCAGCAGCAGAGAACCAACAGCAGCAGAACCAGGAGACTGGTGAAAGATGGCACTGGAGCCGACCCATGGAGCGAGACAGCTGAGTGCCTGTGCGTGGGAGGCCTCCTGGTGGAGTGGGGTGCCTGCAGGCACTTATCAGTGGAGCTAGGCTTGCCGACCCACGGAGCAAGGGAGCTGAGTGCCTGTGTGCAGGAGGCTTCCTGGCAGAGTGGGGTGCCTTGGGGCACTTATACCGGTGGAGCTACAGAGCTTTGGAACACTTGCCCCAGGAGGGCAGATGCGGGCATGAGGCCCGAGGGCCAAGAGACCACAGGAAACAGAAGCAGAAGCTAAAGAGACACGGGACACAAGAAGCCGAGCTGCCTCAGTCTCAAAAGAATGTAACTGAGAGTTGATGATAACTCAGCATCAGCAGAATGAATTTATAAACTCAAGATAGGGGAAGACTTCTTAGATAAGCATGCTGGAGCCACTCAAGAGAGTTCTGGACTGGAAATTTTGTCAGTGACTGTGTAATAGAGAGGTGCATTTGAAGATGATGATATCATGCATGTTGAAGGAAGTGTAAATCCTATTCGAGATATAGAAATAATACATGAAGAGCTTCAGCTCAAAGATGAGGAAATGTTTGGGCCCATTATAGATAAACTAGAAAAAGTGGCTGTGAGAGGAGGAGATAAAAAACTAAAACCTGAATATGACATAATGTGCAAAGTCAAATCCTGGGTTGTAGATCAAAAGAAACCTGTTCGCTTCTATCATGACTAGAATGACTAAAAGATTGAAGTGTTGAATAAACATTCATTTCTGACTTCAAAACCAATAATCTACTTAGTTGATCTTTCTGAAAAAGACTACATTAGAAAGAAAAACAAGTGGTTGATAAAAATTAAAGAGTGGGTGGACAAGTATGACCCAGGCACCTTGGTCATTCCTTTTAGTGGAGCCTTGGAACTCAAGTTGCAGGAATTGAGTGCTGAGGAGAGACAGAAGTATC